CTCAGGGGGGCGCAGGGAAGATGCGGTCAAAGTGTGCCAGCAGCAGCTCCACGGCCTGGTTCTGCTGGGCCATGCCTGCCGCCAGGCTGCCTGGCTCCCTCTCCGGCCGCAGCAGCGTTGGCCCGAACACGATGCCGATGTTCTGGCGTGTCATGCGGTTGACATCTGCCTGCTCCATCACCCTGGGGATGCGCATGGTTGGGGGGTGGTCCCACACACCCCATCCAGCCCCGGTCCTCCCTGCATCACCCTGGGTTTGTACAGGGTTGGGGTGGTCCCGTGCACCCCATCCAGCCCCGGTCCTCCCTCCATCTCCCTAGGGGCTCCATGTGCCAGGGCTTCATCAGTCTGGCAAGCCCTAATCCTGCCCCCCGCTCCCCTGGCATACCAGGGCCACCCGATACCCCCCAGCTACCCCATACCACCCCACAGCCCATCCACTTGCGGGGCAGCTCTAAGCCCGCCCCACAGCCACCCCCAGCCCAGGAGTGGCCCTCCCCTTACCGGCAGAGGTGAGCCAGGAGGTAGCGCAGGGTGGCATAGTTGGCGGGGGGCAGGCTCTGCACCAGCTCAGCCACCCGCTCCACCTGCTCCTGGGGGTCTGGCAGCTCTGGGAGGGAGCCACAACGGTCAGACATGGTGGCACCCCCTAGCACCCATAGCCTGGGGCCGCCCACGGGGAGCACTGCAGGGGGGCACTTACTGATAGCTTCGATGAAGGGGTCAAAGAGCCCGTAGGGCACCAGGGGCTCGGGCAGCTCCCGGAAGAAGAGCTTGAGGGCACCAGTCACCACGTGGACATCGCTCCACTCAGGGTCTGCCAGGCTGAGCCGCTCCTCTGGGAGGAACGGGGGAGGTCAGCTTGCGCCTGGGTCCCCCAAGGCCCCAGCACTGCCAGGGCCACCCCCTGCCCGGCGACCCCAGCTGACCTTGACACAGCTGCTCAGGGAAGACATAGCGCCCATCCGAGGTCACGGCTCGCTCTGTGGGTACGAAGGAGAGTTTGTGGGGGGAGAAGCCACCTTCCCCTATCCCTGGGCATGTGCTCCAACAGTTCCCCTGTCCCCTCCCCAGCACCCCCATCCTGTGCCTCCCCAGTCCCCTCACCCCGGTCCACAGCAAAACGCAGCTTCTGGATCATGGACAGGTTCCCATTGACGCGGTAGATCCCGTCAACATCAAGGCCTGGGGACAATGAGGGGGGTGAGACATGGTGGGGGAAGTCCGTGCCAGCTGGAAGGGGGCATGCCGGCTGGGACAACCCTACCTCTCTCCTCAACGGCCTCCACACAGAGCCGGACGAAGCGGGGCACAGTGGCGTTCTCCCGCTGGCACAGAGCGTCCAGACGGCACCCAAACACCTGGTCTGGGAGAGGGCAGCGCTGAGGCAAACTGGGATGGGGGAGCACTGGGACTCGGTGGAAGGCAAATGGGACTGGGGCAGGGTACAGGCACCAGGAAGGAATGCTGGGGACCGGGAGGGTGGTGGCCAGGGCAGGGAGGAACACCAGGACTGGGAGAGAACACTGGGACCAGGAAGGGATGCTGGACTGGAGGGAGACGCTGGGACTGGTGGGTGCAGAGGGACTGTGGGGGGGAGGGCATTCTGGGACTGGAGGGATGGGGGGAGGACAGACACTGAGATCAGGAGGGGGACAGGGACCGGAGGGGATGCTGGGACTTGGGAGGGACACTGGGACCAACAGGGCACAGGGACTCAGGGCAGGAACACTGGGGCAGGCGGGTGCACTGGGACCCTCTGGGGACAGGCAGTCAAGGCTCCATAGAGCGCTCGGGCACCCTCTTCCTCTCCGACTTCGGGGGCAGAGAGAGGATGTGGGAGGGTTTGGGGGGCCCTGAGGGCATGGTGGGACTTGGGGGCAGGCACTGCAGCTGGGGAGCCCCACCTCGAATGAGCCCCTTCTCCTGCAGGCTCTGCAGTGGGGGCCGCTTGACAATGAAGCGCCTCAGCTTGCTCTTCACCCGCTTCTTCTCTGAGGTGTCGGGGGTGTGGGGGGCACCTGGGGGCACAGCACGCCCGGGGTGCGGTCACAGTCACGCCAGCCCGGAGGCCTGCTCCCCTCCTCAGCCCCCCAACCCTACCTGCAGCCCCGGCCCCCTCAGTGATGCGCGGTGCCTCGTCCTCATCCCCGCTGAGCTCCACCAGGTCCCCAATGTCCCTCGGGCGCAGCCACCCCACAGGCGCATCCACGGGGTTCTCCAGGTCCTGGGGGGGGGGCGATGTGGTGGACAGGGACAGTTGGGGATGCTGACAGGGCTGGGGGCAGCCATGGGGCAATCCCTGCCTGCCCTCCAGGCACTCACCAGCCGGCGGATGACCCCCCGGATGGCCCGGGCCCACTCCTGGATGGTGGCCTCTTGGTCCGACTGCAGCAGGAACTCATTACCCGTCACAGTGCGGAGCTGGTGGGAGAAGGCAGCAGGATGGGGGGAGGCAGAGACCCCCAGGGACGTCTACAGGGGCCAGGGGGACCCAGGCACTCCAGGGGTGCCCTGCTCCCTCCCCAGTGGGGGACTCGGGGGATGCCCCTCACCCAAGGAGGGTCCCTATGCCCCCCCCCGCCAGCCCAGGGGAGTATACGAGTGGCACCCCTTTGTCCCACTTTGGGGGTTCCTGTACATGCTGGGCTGTGGGGTCCCCTTCTCCATGGGCTGTATTTAGGGGGATCCCTGTGATGCCTAGACTGTTATGGAGAGCCCCGTGTCCCCTGGGCTGTGCACTTTAGGCATCCCCCCATCCCCAGCCTGGGGTCCCACCCCACCCCACTCACGTGGATGACGTTCTTCTTGCTGGAGAGGTCACGGGCCCAGTCCAGGGCAGCCCCCCGCAAGTCCACGCTGCTCTCAGGGCGGCTGCTGGCAGGGCACTGGAGGGGCACTGGGTGTGATGGGTGCTCCGTCCCCCTTGTGCCTCCCCAGCACCCTGTATTCCTTCACAGCCCTCTCCCCCTGCTGTCCCCACTGTCCCCCTGTACCTCCCGATGCTCCGGCACTCCCCCCCGTCCCAGCCCACTCCCGTGCCCCCCACTCACCCAGACAGTAGGTGCCGGCCCCTTGGGCTCCTTGTAGAAGATGAGGCTGTTCCCGGCCAGCACCACCCAGGAGACCCCCCAGCTCTTCCTGGGGGCAGCAAGTGAGGGGCACCCCCAACTCCCCCCCAGCCAGGGCTGGGGGCAGGCTTGGGGGCCCCCCACCCCAGCAGAGCGGGTGCCCCCTACCCCAGCAGAGCCCCACACAGGCCCTGGGCACCATTTGGGCACTGGCAGCACCCCAGATCCACCCCCAAGCCTGGCACAGCCGAAAGCACCTTTGTGTGCCAGGGACATTGCTTGTCTGGAGCCCCTCAGCTGTGAAGAGCTGTGGGCCAGGCTGGCATGGCCCCCCCAGGCTGGAATGCCCATCCCCAGCTAGCACAGCCCCCCCGGCATAACC